CTTTACAGGAGAAGCAAAGGCTAGAATTGAGAGATACTAGGGAAAAGTAGTAGGTGGTGTGAGAGATGTGACTTGAATGTGTGGAATTAATAGGTGTGCTGACAGGTGTTTGCTTTGGAAGATGGTGCAAGACAGATATCAGTGACAGCAACTGCAGGGGGTATTATGAAGTTATGTCAATTATAGAGAACTTATATTTCTAAAATTCACGTTTTGTGAAAGATTCAAGTTGCTGCCCTGGGGGCCATAACAAATGTTAATTTGGTCCCCTTAAGGAAGAGGCTTCTGTTAATCTTAGGGTTCTCACCCTGGTGGATATACAGCTGTCAGTAGGAAAATGCAGACTCCAAAGTATTACTGATAGAAATTAAACCGTGTATTGAAAAGCATTACCAAATAATACATTACAAAAGCAAATTGAAAACTGAATCAGATGCATGATACTAGGAATACATGAAGAAGGTGTGGACACAGTATCGACAGTAAGATGCAGAGGGTTACAGGAAACGATATAAGCAGATAAATAGGCAGTGCTGAAGCATGAGCAAATAAAGTATAATTCTAAACCAATTTTACACCAGTAGTGGACACAGTAGATAGTGGAGAGATGAACCACAAAACTTGTAAATATATTTAAAACAGAAGGTTGCAAACATGAGAGCAAACTTAATGTGTATTAGCCAATATAAATATTAAATCATTAATTGCACCCTACCACCCTTCTGTCCTTTTAGTTTTTGCTCAATGTCTTTGCAAGCAGGCTGATGCAGTTTCATAGCTACCTATCCAAGGATCCAGGAAGGCTGAAGAGGCTGGACTCTCACAGGCTTGTGAGCCTTTCAAAGCTCAGACTACTGAGAATTAGGAGGAGGGGAAGGCAGAGTGAGGCCTTTGGAGGCCTCAAGACATCCTCAAAGCATGAGGATCTTAAACAGAAAAGGCTACTTCTGGTTTGCAAAGAAAAACTGCTCAAAAAGTAAAGAATTTACCAAGCCTGCCTTTCTCCTGGACTTTTCTACATTTCCCATGGTTGCCCATCACTCCAAAGAGGTGGAGACAGAGGCGTGAATTAATTTCCTCCTTATTTATTGTTTACTTTGGCACCTGAGGGACTACAAAACCCCCATACCCATAACGTCTTCCCAGTATTACAAAACAACATGTTAGTGTGAGGTCTTCTTATTAGTCATGAGACTGATCTTCTTGTTTGTTAGAGTTGCAGGTGTTTGTCAGGTGTTTGTGTGTCAGTCTTCATGCTTAGTCAGCAATCAGCAGTGCATTCTGGGGCTTTCAAATGACAAGTTTCAGGCTGGGATTCAAGGGGAAGAACTCTTGAATAACATGATTGTGTGTGCTAACAGTTGGAGGGAGTCTTTCCCCCTTATATGTGAAACCTGGCCTCGTGTAATCTGGTTCTCATAGCATCGCAGCAGGTGCTCATCTTAGCTTAGTTGACAAAGTTAGTATCCCAGTCAATAGACCGGTTTCTGGGCCACGTCAGCTGCATCCACAAATTTCCCCAAAGCCATTGATGCAGACACACGCACATGCACACGATAAAAACCCTAGCAATCCATGCTTCTTTTTACCCCATAATATCATGGTTTTTTTACAACTCACGTGGATTCCGTAGAAGGCAGAAGGTCCTCACATGGTCTTCTGATGTAAAAATCCATTCTGTTGTAAAAAAATTCTGTTGAAAAAAACAAGCTTGGACAAGTTTTAGCCAAGTTTGGGCAGGTTGCCCCTCTTAACAAAAGCTTTCTCTTAATACTAAGAGGTGCTTTTCCAGTGTTTATGGTTGCTTGAGGTTAGATGTACCTCATGGAATGCACAGCTATCACTCAGCGCTGTATTATTGCAGTCTCAGCAAAAGTCACAATTTCTAATGGCAAACTACATAGTCAGGGTCTACAATTCATTTTGTTCAAGGCTGTAATTAGGCCAATTCAGGGCCCAAAAGATACTGGATTAACAACAAATAAGCACTTTTAATGCAAACTTTAAATCACACAGAAGTGAAAATATATTAACTGCCTTGAGCCTACCCTGGCGGGGAGGGCGGGATATAAATCTAATAAATAAACAAATAAACAAACAAATATAAATTAACAAATAAATGTTTCCATTTCTGAACTAATGCAGTTGAAGTTGGTTGAAAGCCTTACTGAACAAACCATCCACCACTTTTTTTTGTGGTGTTGTTTGGTACTGAAAAGAGCTGTGGTGGCTCAAGTGGTTAAGATGCTGAACTGCAGGCTGTGGAAGTTCGGTAGTTCAGCAGTTCGAGACCCGGGTGCCGCATGACGGAGTGAGCTCCCGTCTCTAGTTCCAGCTCCTGCCAACCTAGCAGTTCGAAAGCAAGAAATTGCAAGTAGATAAATCGGTACCACTTCAGTGGGAAGGTAACAGCATTCCGTGTGCCTTGGTGTTTAGTCATGCCGGCCACATGACCACGGAAATGTCTTCGGACAGCATTGGCTCTTCAGCTTTGAAACGGAGATGAGCACCGCAACCCTAGAGTCGGATTCGACTGGCTTTCGAGCAAGGGAACTTTTACCTTTTTACCTTGGCACTGAAAAGCATGGAACAGGTAATCAGAACTTCTGTCAGTGCCATTTTGTGCTGTGGGGAAAGGACACTAAAGTCTGTATTATATATTTTTTTAACAGAGTGCTTGTCTAGTGCTGGATAAAATGTCAAAGGGTATGAGTTTCTTATGTATTGGAGGTCACATTGACTTCCTGCTGGGCAGAAAGATAGCATACATTAAAAAAAACACCCCCCAAACCCCCTGGTTTGGTGGGGGTCCCCTGCTTTTTTGGGGCTTCTACCCGCCACTGGCCAGCTGGCTGCCGAGGGAAGCCCCGCCCCCAAGCCCCAACACCCACCGCCACCCTCTCCCTCCTGCGGCCACGTACCCGATCTCTGTTCAGAGATTAAGCACGCGGAAACACCTGCTCCCTGCACATAAAAGGGGCCCCTTTCACTGCAGGGGGCCGGCGTTTCCGTGTGCCTGATCTCCACAGAGGTCAGGCGAGCGAGGAAACGCTGGCTTCCTGTAGTTAAAGAGGCCCCTTTAACTGCAGGGAGCCAGCCAGCATTTCCCGCGGTCCTGATCTCTGCGGAGGTCGGGTGCGCGGGGAAACACCGGGTCCCTGCAGTTAAAGGGGCCCCTTTAACTTCAAGGAGCTG